GGGGCGTGAATGGCCCCGCCCATATGGGGTTACCTCCTTCGACATAAATACCTCCTCTGCAAGTGGTGTTGTCCCGGCGACTCACCGGCAAGCTTGGCCAACGGCGCCAACATGGGGAGTCCTCACTCGACGTGCCGCTTCGTTAATATTAATCATCTGCAGGTCTAACGGACGCCGTGGCGCCCGCTCTGATGTTGAAACGCCGAGATGGGGAAAATCGACCTGTTCTTGCGTCGCACCTCAAGACAACATTGCCGCCTTAGCCCCGGTACAGGCCTGGTCACAACCCAGGCAAAAGAACCTCCATCTCCACCATGTGAACAAGGACCATTCCGGGGGAGGGGTGAAGTTGTGCATCGCCGCATGTTCAAAGTATGATGGATAAAACCCTGCTAGATCCCAGTCTACTAGCCAAAGTTTCCCCGTTCCGCTCTCAAGCATGATGTTGCGGGGAGCAAGGTCATGATGGACGAAGACAAACTCCTTCTCGGGGGTTATCGGCTGCAAGCATGACTCCCTGTGCTGCTCTGGTGTTTTGCTTACTTCTCGGCGGAAAGAGACGAGGTTGTGCCAGAAGTTGACGATGGAGGATATGGTGGTTGGTGAAGCGTGCGGCGGAATGCCATATACGTCGTTGTCGATCCAGAATGAGCGGCAGATTCCCATACCCAGCGACCCGGCCGTGGGCCTAGTTACGGTTTGCATTTGGCGTACCATACCCCGGAGCTGAAAGGCGAGCCGCACTGTCGACAGTAACTCGATACTATCCCAGATCGCCATGAGGTCATGGCCGTGGATGCGCGTCTGAATAACCTCGAATCCGCGTCCTTGACGAACAATCCTCTTGATGGTCGGGGCAGCAATGCCCAGGGTTTTGGCCTTTCGCATTGCGGATGTTATATCTTCAACGCCTTCAATATCCTCGTAATAGACCTTGGAGAAATACGAGTCGGAAACCTCAATCACACGCAAGGTTCCCCCGCGCACACTCGCGGAGATGGGCAATTTGTTCGGCTAGGTCTACGTCCGACAACGTGTCGACCGCCTCGTTTGATAAGAGCATCATCGAGAAAAAAGTGTCGGGGATGCGGGGGTAATGGAGCGGCTTTGACGAGGTTGCAAGAATGAGGTGGATTCCATGCAGGTAAACGCAGGTGTGGACAGGGGCTGGGTGATATTGAGAAGCATAGCGGACAGGACGAAATCAAGCAGTCAGAGAATGACTGTCGGGGATCTACCTAATGGAGAAATCCAACAAGTTGATGCGCGGGCTGTGTCTAGGTAGATATTTATCACGCGGGATTGTATATCTGGGTGCCTATCCCTTGGGGTCGTCGGCCTGTGCATGTGTTCGCAACATCACCAACACAGCTGAACATTTGATTGTCACGCTCTTCAAAATTTCGATTTTATTTGACAAAGGGATTGTAACTTAACACCTCACGAGTAGAAAAAGCCGAACTCCAAGTCTAGATGCGAAGGAAACCTTTGACGAGAGAGGAACGAAAAAGAAAGCTATCCAGAAGTCCAAAATCTACATTCTGCCCAAAGGGATTTAGAAGCGTTATTGCAATACTGGATCAACCCAGAAAGGTCGGAGCCGAGGGTGAAGAGAGAAGGCTTGTTCAAGGATGGGTTGTAACGCCAGCCGCAAACGACGGTTTACAGATGGTTTTTAGAGAAATTTAGGTTAGGGGTACCCAGACATGATGCATCGTTGAGGCATCGAGAGAATCTTGGCATCCGAGCACGGGTGATCAGTCCCTTGTGATCCAACCGCCAGGGGTCTTGGACCCTTGCCAATGCTTGGAATCCCCTTGTGAACCCTTGTGAACCCTTGCGGACCTTGAGGGCCTTTGGTCAACCCGCCACACCCGCCTCCTTCTCGGACCGGAGCAGAGCGGCGGTACCAACCGTCAGACATACTTATCCGCCTTATTTTTCTGGAATCGACTGCTCCAAGCGATTTGGCGGGTTGCCATAGACAATCTACTTCGAGTCGTGTATACAGCCCGTGCCAAAAGATCAGACGAGATGGGTCTGAAGTCGGTTACCATCGGCAGCGTCATCGCAGCGCTCGCTCGGACGGCAGCGGCATCGCAGCCTGGTGCAGCGGAACCGGTCCCTGCGCCGATGCGCGATCTCGTCTGGGGCAAGCTCAACTTTCTACATACCACAGACACGCACGGATGGCACGGCGGTCATTTACAAGAACCGCAATATTCCGCCGACTGGGGGGACTATGTCTCGTTCGCAGAACATATGCGCAAGAGAGCGGACGAGGATGGAGTTGACCTGCTGCTAGTCGACACGGGCGATCGCGTCGAGGGAAATGGCCTGTACGATGCATCGAGCCCCAAGGGCAAATATTACTACGACATTTACCGAGAGCAAGATGTCGACATCATATGCACAGGCAACCATGAGCTGTACATCGCGTCCACGGCCGACGGGGAGCACCTGTACACCGTATCCAATTTCAAGCAGAACTACATCGCCTCCAATCTCGACTACATAGACCCCAAGTCCGGCGAGATAATGCCAATGGCGCAACGATACCGCAAGTTCCAGACCAGAAACCAAAAGTTGGACGTAGTCGCCTTTGGCTTCCTCTTCGATTTCACCGGCAATGCCAACAACACGATCGTCCAGCCCGTTCGGGAGACTGTGAGGGAGGAGTGGTTCCAGAACGCCATCCAAGAAGAGACCGATGTATTTTTGTAGTCATCGGCCACGTCGGCGTGCGTATGCCCGAGTTCAAGACCATCTTTACGGCAATCCGCAAGCAGAACCCACTTACACCGATCCTCTTCTTCGGCGGCCATGTCCATATCCGCGACGCGACCACCTACGACGCGCGCTCCTTTGCCGTAGCCAGCGGGAGATACTTTGAGACGATCGGGTGGATGTCGATCGACGGCGAACTAGAGCGGACATCGCTATCCGAGGACGCCGGTTTTTCCCTTTCCACCGCAGATACATCGGACAACAACCTCCTCGGTCTGCAGTACCACACGGGTCCTCGATGCCGACCACGTTCCCCACCGAGCGCGGCCGCAATGTGTCAGCCATGAATCACCAAAGCCCCGGAGTGGAACTCGACCTCGAATTATGCCTTCCTGCTGCGCCTCCGAAGACCCTAGTGGATGTCTTCGTGTCGCCTTTACCCGGGGGGCGACAGCATCTACAGCTGGCTTGAGGAGGAGGTTCTCCCAGACGTCGTGGTCAATCCCAGCCGGCGAGACGTGCCGCGCTTAGCAATCTTTAACACGGGTGCCATCCGGTTCGACATCTTCAAGGGGGCGTTCACCCGCGACACCACCTTTATCGTCTCGCCGTTCCTCAGCGTCCTGACGTACATCCCAGACGTGTCTTACCAGTAGGGCTCGGAGGGTCATCGACCTTCTTGAACAACGCGGGCAAGATCATGGAAATCGGGCCCGATGACAACCGGTTCATGTCGATCCCGGAGCAGCTTGTCATTCACGAGTCCATCGTCCACGAGGCGCCCGAGTTTGATATTAATGTGGATGCTTCCCAGCAAAAGCCGCTCAGCGAGAGTGCCGACAGGAGACCTCATCTGACCGAGGGTTACACGACCAGAGACACCATCGGTACTGATGGCGACGACACCCTCCACAAGCCCGTCAACTTTTATGTTGTGCCCAACTGCGTCCAGGCCGAGGTCGGATTCCCTCAGGAGGGCGAGCCGGAGGCCGTGGACCTCGTGTTCCTGGACTTTATCACGCCGTGGATTCTGATGGCTTTGAGGATCGTCGGCGGCGAGTACAGCGAGAAGGACGTGCAGCTCTACGCTGAGGGGACATTTACCGACATGATGGCTGGCTGGATCGAGGAGAACTGGCCGAAGCATTGTTAGACATGTGCGTTGTTATGTTGCTTGAGCTGAGCGTGCTACGGAGACTTGGTTTGGTCTATCTTGGCGTTATCATTTTGTCGCACATTCAGAGCAGGCCTATTTTTCGAGGGTTTTACACATTGTATATGCATAGATTAGCGAGTTGACGAGAACTAGCAGAGATCAGATAGTGGCGTGTTAATGGATAGGATCATCTTGTACGGCTAGCACGGAGCGAACACACACACATACACGGCGGCAGGGGGTAAAACCCGAAGACAAGAAAACAGCCAGACCCAGCCGTCGTTGTCCCTTATTGCGCCGTCACGCCAACCGACCCATGAAAATGCTACCAACAAAAGCAGAGCCTGACACTATAACTGGTCAAGCAGCTTCCTCCGCCGCCTTTCACCAGTTCCTGCTGCACCTCGTCCAACGTCGGCAGCTCCCACACCCTCCCATCCCCTACATCCCCCGGCAAGGTTCCACCCAGCCGGCGCGCCAGGCGGCCCCGCCTTCGCAAGCCACTCGCGCGCCGTGTCCTCCCTCGCGCGCTCATACTCCAACACTCCGCATCCTCCTCGCCCGGCGCATACCCATAATACGCCGCATTCACTGCCATCCTCAAATCCACACCTCTCCTACAACGGACTACTCATCCATCCACCTTGGACCTTCGCAGCCGCCTCAAAAACTCCTTCACCCCCGGGCAGCTCCACTTCTCGCACGCGGGAATACTGTCTTGCTCCTTAATCGGCGTCCGCCCCCCGAAGCCCCCCGCGCCGATGATGCCCACGTCGCCGGCTTTGGCTTTCCGGAACCGGAAGAGCATGGATCGCGCTTTCTCGGATTTGCGCCCCTCGAAAAAAGGAGGAGGGGGGGGGGGGGGGTTAGTTTGGTTGGTTGGTTGGGGGTGTTGGGGGTGTTGGGGGTGTTGGGGGTGTTGGGGGTGTTGGGGGTGTTGGGAGGGGGTGAGAGGGGGAAGGTGGACGTACCATTTTGATTGATTTGGCTGTGTTGGATTGGGGTTGATTGTTTGTAAGGGGAAGGAAGTTTGGGCGCGTGAGCGGGTTGAGGTTGGGTTGTTGCGCCGAGTTTGTTAGCCAAGGTTGGATGTTCAAGTTTGGCCTGATCTGGAAATCTACAGCCTTGTCTGTTGCAGGTTGTGGCGCTGTGGCGTGAGCTCACCCGATAAGGCGGGTTGGGCAGTAATTACAGCCACGCCAGGCTTGGGGGCACTTGGGTACATGCCTGGTACCGATTTCCTCTTCTCCTCACCATCACTCAGATATAATTTTGAAACCACGAAAATAATCAGTAGGCGGTAATCACCTCTGCTTTGTCAACGGCATGAAATTTAAGAGTATATATTGTATTTACGAAAAAATGGTTCCAAGATGAAAGCAGATCTCCGGCCCCGGACAATCTCTCGGCGAAGGCGAGGAAGCCGTCGGCCTAGTTTCCGCTGGACATTGCTGAACCTGTCTTTTGGGGACCTTGGTAACCAAGCCCATCGCTTTTTCCCCTGAAACCATACAATAAGACTGACCCCTTCCGTGCAGTCCTCAAGGTCAAAGCACTGTTCGCGATCAACGTGAGTAATGTTTAAGGTTTTCTTGCCTTTTTGGTGTTCTTCTTGATCGCCAGGGAAGGGGAGGAGGGTCGTTTCGGTTGTCTGAGTGAGCGGCGGTACGGAAGGGATGAATTGGCAGAAATCGCGCAAGTCTTCTGGCGTTCGAAACGTGCTGTCACCGCCGATAATGACCGGGCACCGCACTTCGGGTTCTCTAGCGTAGCGCGCTGCGGCAGCAGCCCAAGATCCTGGTGCCGGCTCAGCTTTGGCCGTCTTTCGGGACTTTGCCAGCCAAGCAGCTTGCATTTCCCCCTGAAACCGCACAACAACCCTAACCCCTTCTGTGGAATCCTCAAGGTCAAGGTGCTGTTGGCGATTGATGTCGGTAATATCTAAAGTCCTCTTGTCTTCGTCTTCCTCCTGCATGCCAGGGGGGAAGGAAGGCAGGTTTTGTGATTGTCTGGGTGAGCAGCGGTACGGAAGGGAGTTGGCAAAAATCACGCAAGTCTTGCTAACAACCGACGGCTATCTGTATACAGTCAATAACTAACCATCGTTACATCCAACATCTACTATAAAACTATCGGTTATTAGTAGGCAGATGGCAATAAATACCTACTTAGTTAGTCCTCCTTCTTTCAAGACGTTGGTAACCAAGCGTATTTTTTTACCCCCTGAAACAATACAAGGACGAACTTGCCTTCTGTACAGATTATAGCTTTCAAGACGCCAGTGATGTAGGGGATCGACACCCGCAATATCTAAGATCTCCTTGCTTGCTTGCTCTTCCTCGCTAATCATCCTATAGCTTGTTTCGGCTGCCTGGGCGACTGGCGGTAGAAAACGGAGTTGGCAGAAATTGCGCAACTCTTTATGCGTTCGGAATATGCTGTTACCGCCGATAATGACAATGCGCAGGCATTTGGTGTCGTCCGGTAGGGGAGTGCTCCAAGATCCTGGCGTCCACTTGCTCTGCTTGGCCTTTTGCCGTTCGAGCTTAGCTTTGGCCATGGCATCTCGCAGATATTCGGCCATCTTGAAAGAATGGTAGTCGTTTGTTGAAATTGAGTTGGGAGTCGAAGTGCGGATGTTCAAGGTTTTCTGAACAGGTTGTTGGGTGATGGCTGAGTCAAGGCAATGGTGCAGTGAGGCAACCTAATGGGAGGCCGTGTAAATCTTTTTAGGTGGCTGAGGTTAATGTTCAGAGACGAATAAAAGACAAAGGGGTCTGGCCATTTAGGCCGCCATGTGCAATCGCTGCGCTTTGTTGTTGGACACTGTGTGATGCTCAGGCCTTAGAAGGAATAAAGGGCCGTTTAATTGTCGATGCCTAGTACCTATCGTGTTCTGATATGGAAACAAACCCTAAATCCCGACTCTTCATCACCCCTCCTCCATCTCCACATCTCCCGATATCTCCCTGCTCACACCCTCATCCCTTCCCGGCGCCCCTCTCACAAGCGCCCTCCCTATGCCCCTCATCTTACTCAACATCTTCCTCCTTTTGCCACTCTCCACGCTCCCCATCCCGCCCCCCTCACTGCCATCCTCCGAACTGCACCAACCCCGCCGCCGTTTCGTGCCAGCGCCAACAGGAGAACCCAAGCCCCCGCCTCCAGGCACCGGATCCGTATCATCTCCCGCTCCACTCCCGCCCGAAGCCACCGAAGTAGGCGGCGTCACCGACCCGGACCCGAATCCGAATCCGGACCCAGACCCAAACCCAGACCCAAGCTCCGAATCCAACTCGGTGGTGCTCGCACTCGAACCCGTCGAGCCCGCCGAGCCCGCCGACGACAGACTCGTTCCCTGCGACAGGGACGACCGGACCCCCAAAGACAACGACGGCAACGACAGAGCAGGCGGCAGACTCTGCTGCTGGTGCTGCCAGGGCCATAGTCGTTTCGACTTTGGCATGCCGAGGATGACCGCCCCCTCCGGCGGACAAGCCGAGAGGTCCACAATCACCTTTGAGCCACCGCCGCCACTGCCGTCGGTGTCGTTGAAGAGAGACGTCATACCCCCCATACCCCCCCAGCCAAACCCCTCCAAAACGAGTTCTAGAACGGGCTGGAAACCACCATAGGCGGCCTCCTTCGGTTTGAGCACGGGGCGTGCCGCCGTCGCCGCGGCTCCGGTTGGCCCCACGCACGCACATCTACGGAACATCTCCCCGCTGCCGCCCATGGGAGTGTTGTTGCCGCTCTTGTTGTAGCACAACACCATCCCCGGCGCAACGGTGAGCGGGCTGTTGTTATTGCTACTGCTGCTACTGCTAGGTACCACTGCGTCGTCGCTGCCTACCGTGCGTCGGACGATCTCGCGGAGGTCGGCGACGCCCACGCAGAGGTGGTACTGGCCTGTCGGCAGAGCCATCCAGTCGAGGCAGGCTTGTGCCATGGTCTGTGTTTGCGTCTGTGGATGGGGGTGGGCGGCGGGGCGGATGAGCTCGCCGAACCCGCGGCCGAACAGCGTCACGGCGGGTATGGCGCGCGTGAAGTCGACCCAGGGGACCGAGAGCGGGAGCTTGGTCACCTTGAGGTGGAAGGGGTCGCGGTCGGTGGCGAGCTCGGCAAAGTCCCAGCCCTTGAGGTGGGTGCTTATGCGGGGCTTGGAGTTGATGCCCTTGTGTGCGGCTTCGGCGTGGCTGGCGTGGTCGACGAGTTTCTCTAGCGTTTCGTACAGCTGTTCGATGCGGTGCTGGACTGTGGTGGAGGTGTTTGCGTCCTCGCGGTACAGGGGGAGTCTACGGTTGGCTTCGCTGAGGAGGACTTTGAGCGCCGAGCTGCGCTTGAGCGGGTCTGTGGACTCTTGGAACTTGGAGTGTTCGAAGAGGAACTCGCTCGCAAACTCGTCGACCGAGGAGAGATGGAGCGAGGTGCGGAGAAGGTGCAAAAGAGTGCTTGCTCCATCGATGAGAAAGCCTCGGTTGTCTTCGACGTCGTAGAGAGTGAAGTAGCGTTGGCGGATCCAGCGGAGCTTGTCGACGTAGCCACCCCGGGTGATGCGGATGGGGGTGTCTTTGCGGCCGATACTAAACTGGCAGCCACCTGTGACAACCTGGCCGACCGATAAGGAGACTTTCTCGAGAGAGAAGTCTTTCCCGGGTGAGCCGAGACGAGATTCCCGGATGGCGTAATTAGCGTCTTTTGATCCTAGAAGAGGTGTCAGCAGTTGATGGTAACTCCGGGACGGGTAGTAACGGCGGACCGGCATAAAAGTGAGCCTCGGAACACCATCCCAGAATATGACGCCCTTTTGCCATCTCATTGCCGTCGACATCGGCGCATTGGATGGCGCCCATGTCTGGATAAGGCAACCTCCCCCCATCACTGTAATAGAGATGCCAGAGAGTCGCATCGTTCAACTTTTGTGACGGGACGATTGCGGTTGAAAATCCCTTGAGTAAATACTTTCCAAACCAATGGTGAATCCGGGGGGACTGGGCCAGGCCAGCCATAATGGTTAGTGGTATCTCCAGTCCAGTGTCGTACTTGCTCCGTCGAGGGATGGGATAGCCCACTGCTATACAAGGGTCCCGGAACAGTCGATGCCAACATTGACCAGTATTGGCAGATTTAGAGTCGTTCGGAATCAGAGTTATCTGAAATGCCAGAGTATAAAGTGGAAGCGAATCTTCATCTCCTTCGTCGAAGCCGGGGGATATGGGCGAGCACAAAGACAAACTCTCCCCCGACCCCGAGACCCGGCGTCCCGACGTCCGCAACGCTGCCCCAAGCCAGGCAATCTGCTCGGCCACCTCGGCAATACTGTGTGACGTGCCTTGAATCTCTGCCCGAAGCATAGGTTCATGTTTGAAGTCTAGCTTCACCTGGGTTTTGTCAGGCAAGATCCCTTGCACCTCATCGTCCAAGTCCAGGGCCCGGGACAAAAGAGCCAGAAGCCCCGGTCCCGTTGCTGGCCACGTCTGGCGGAGATACCCTTCGCAGGGTAGTGCCTGTGCATCCGTTGCCGATCCCGTGAGCGTGATGGCCTTACCGAGAAGTTGGCCAAGAGAGACTTGGGAACTGCCAAACTCTTCCCGGAGGAAAGCTTTCGGGTCCCAATCCACCCATAGCTCCAACGTGTACAGATCTGACGATCGCTTACTACTCATGCTCCTCCTGTCACCGTCCAAGTGGCGGACCACTTCGGAATAAACACGGCGGGAAAGATGACGCTGAGAAGGTACCGAGGAGAGAAGGAACTCCTTTTAAGCGACGCCGTCAGCCAGCGGTAGGCCATGGATTCGAAGACGATACGGGTGTATTGGTGCCCATTTGGAAGCGATATCTCGTCGTTCGGTTCCCCTGATTCTGAGAGAACATTGCAGGCCTCGTCCATGTCTAGTGTAAGGGGCGAAAGATCATGGTGCTCGTCTTCGTCGCTGATGCCATCTAGCCAGCCACGGATAAACGAATGCACGGTTGAGAGGTCAATCCTCTCCCGGAACTTGCTTGGATTCCCACAGTCACTGGCCTGCGAGTCAGGAATGAGGGCAGATTCAAACCGAGACGCAATATCACTGACGGCCACGTTAGCAATCTATCAAGGACGCTAGTGGGGGTGAACCTGTCAGGGGGGGCCAAACTTACACCCTGTGTTTATGAATGAAGTACATCACCTCCCGCTCAGCCTTGCTAGACCCAGCACAGCCTAACCTCAGGGAGAATGCCCTGAGAAGCTCTGGGAGGCTCGCCCCAACAGCCTGAACAAGGGTGGTATCTTCGCCGGCATTTTGGGTTGCCGACGAAACAAAGTTTGCGAGTGCTTCGGCAAACTGGGAGATGTATATCTCCACGTCGTCCCGAGAGATGCTGTTAGCCACCGAGTAAACGGTTTCCGAGTCTTCATCGTCGTTTGGAGCGTTGAGAACACCTTCTTTTGCTTGGGGGTCGGCAGCTCGCCCAAGCGATGCGTAGCCTGAGTCCGTAGCGGCACAATATTCCGGTAGGTCTACCAAAAGCTCAACGCCGCCAGGAATCATAGATGTTGTATAGGCTTTGGGCTCGAGCAAATCCTCGCATTCGATGTCGGGCTGGATCTCGGTCAGCGGCTGGCCTTCGGCTTGCAGTCGCTTATCCCGCTCCTCGCGTTGAGTTGAAGATTGAGGGGCCAAGAAGCCAGGTTCTATGCCATTCTCGGCGGGTGATCCAGGCGCGAAGGTGTCGTCATGAGAATTTGGTTGTGCAGAGGGCCATCCATGGATCATTCTCATGTGCCTTCGGCAGTTGTCCTCGAGGTAAAATGTGCGTAAACATGGGGAATACAAACACTTGAATCCCACCACCGAGTGTGCAGATTGGTAATGGCGTTCTAGATCCCTTCTCTCTGCAAACCCGGGGGATTTGCAGGTGGAGGAATAACACTTGAACGGCTTTGTGTGTCTCCTCTGGTGCTTTGCCAGGTCAGATGCGCGTATGAACTTCTTGGTGCAATTCGGAAAGCTGCATTTGAAAGGAGCAAGCTCACGGTCCCCGGTATCGTCCGGATCACTGAAGCCTGCGCCGCGTGAGCTGGTTGGGGTATGGGTTACGCCGGTGGATGCCACGCTGCGCTCAATATCCACGGACGCAGTGTTGATGGCTGGAACACTCTGTTTCTTCTCCGTTGACCGGACCCCCCTGCATAAAAGGCGAATATCCTGAACATCATTATTGGCGGACGTGAACAAGCTGAGGCATCGTTTACACGGCGCAAGGGGGTCTGTACTGGTGGGAACGCACTTAAGTCATGTCAGTATCAGCGGGGATCAAAACGATGGGATTCATCAAATGGCATCACTTACACGGACTCGACCCCGACGGCACCGCTGGCAAGATTGCCCTTTCCAACTGCGTGAGCCGGCGCTGTCTAGACCATGACCGGGTTTGGACAATTCGTAGGATGCATCCGCGCGGTGACTGCTCGGTCGTACTATGAACTTGCCCTGATTCTCATTCCGCTCCATGGTTGCAGCATCAAAGCGTTTGTCCCAGAAGCCCTCGGGGTCAGGGACGAGGGCTGCTAGTAGTGAAGGTCTCAGCTTAGCGGCTTCGAGGAAGGACACAGGCTGCGGTCATACCCTCCTTTGCGGTTGCATGTCTTCGTGTCTTGGTGCCTTGCATTGGTGCATCCATGTCTCGGCCAGATGCATCGCCAAAGAGGGATTGGAATGGTATTGATATAGATATCCAGGTCCCTAAGGTGGGTTATTTAGACGAGTGATCTCGGACCAGCTGCCAGTATGGGACGCGAAGGCGAGAAAGTTTAAGAAGTTGAGAAAGTCACAATCGATGTGTTGACTGGACATTGGGACGAGGCTTCGAGGGCAGTGCCCAGCACAGCCCTAGAACCCCCCTTTTCTTGAGAGCCTCGAGCGGACTGGTAACGTCGGTACCTAAGGCACCTAGGTACCTAGCACAAACAGCATGCGGCAGACCCCGACCCATTGACCTACCTACCAAGGTAGTGGCTGCTGCTCATTTATCCATCCCTGAGGCCTTTCTCAGGTTTGAATGCAGGCCATCTTGGCATTGCGCCACGACTTGTTGCGTGGTGCTGTGGCACGAACTCCGATTCGGAATGTATAGAAACTTGATTAGTTTATTATTCTGGTTTCAGTTATGACCTAGAACAACCTACGGGACAATGGATGGAAGCTTTTAGGCGGATTGGATGGTTCACCGGGCGAGGAAAGAATGGGTTCCTGACCGCCATGGATAGGCGCCGCGCTCTGTTATTGGACACTTGGGTATGCATGTATGGGCGCTAAAAGACGTGAAGCGCCACTGGCCGCGGCCGTTGAGGGGAACCAACACGCCGTCGTTGTTTTGAAGCCTCATAAGGGCCCGAACTCATTGTGGAAGCTCGTTGGACCGAACATCAGCATCAGCGATTACATCGGGGTGCCCGAAGATATCGGTGGCCCAGCTGCGGAAGGTGGTGTCGACCCAGGCGCCGAGCAACCCAAGCATGGTAAGCAGCTGGTAGATGTTGGGAAAGCTGTTGGTCATGCCGATCGGCAGAGCACCGCAGACCTCCATCCTATCCAGGCGATCGACGGCAAAATAGAGTGACCACTGGTGATCGTGGACGAGTATAAGAGGTAGCGTAGGGAGCGCGGGTCCATACATCCCACCACCGACGCCCAGCATATCCATGCGCTTGTGCCACCGTCCTCTTGGTCTCCATCGTGGCCGACCTTTCGCTTCTTGGAGGGCGATTGACTTCTGCTCTGGAAGGACGAAGTCGGTGGGGTGTCCTTGTCAGGCTCACAGGGATGCTTCGAGCCTAGTTGCCCATCCGGCAGTCCCAAGATTCAGAGACGGATGGCAGACTCGTCAAGCATAGATAGTTCGGCAGTTGTAAAGTGGCTTCCCGTTAATGTCGGTGAGATAGGGCATCAACACGTCGCGGAATCAGGTGAGGGTGTCGCTACAGGCTGGCCCCGGGCTTTTATTATCACAAGAGTAAGGTACTCGGATGATAACGGTTACGGAGCTGGTGGGAATAGCTCATTAGGCACTTATCGTCCATCCGTGGCATCGAGGTCCCTGGTAAGGTCGCAGATACTTGTAGCGAAAAGCTATCTGTCTCTCCGTTTCGGCTCCTTCACTAGTAATGCTCTTCATCACTCGGTTCTCTTTAACAGCTGGACCTAGGCTTGAACTGTCTGTGGTTGCATAGCGGGAAGAGCGTCGTGCGGGGGGGTCTTTGGGCGGCAGGCGGGTCTGCGTCGCAGGTTGCCACGGTACTGGAGAAGCGAGGGCTTTACGGCCGTGGATATTGCGATTTACCGGACCGTTGGGGGGGTCAATAGGAAGGGAGTTTGTCAGTAAGATCAACAACGGTCGAGTCAGGACGTAAGCGGTATCACAAGCCTGTAAATACCTACAATTAAACATTTATGAATACCGAAACTCACTTGGTATGGAGTCAAAGTGGGCTCATAGGCTTGGCGGGCAGCGAAGCCCCACAACGTAGGTCTTTCATCACCGCGCCTCAACGCGCTTCTCTTCTTCCATCACCTCTGTGCAATGTGCAAATTGGCAACCAGCTCTGCCTTGTCAACGGCATCATTTTCGTCGACACGCATTGTATTTGCAAGTGGATTTCCTCGACATCTAATGTCACGATTTCCATTTCCTTCCATCTTCGTCTTTTTTACCGACTCCGCAAGGCCGGTAGCGACTTTACCAATCGACTTTAACCAAGCCTAATCTAATCCCCGATATCAAGCGATATCCTGCCAACAACCTCCCTAGATCCCCAAAACCGCTGCAGTGAGGAAAACTTCCAAACTCGACTCATCCAGTCACAGAACGCGGGCGAGGCTGAGAACACCAAAGAATGGATATCTGAGCAGCAACTATATTATACCCCCTCCCAAACAAGCAAAGCATAGAACCAACCTCGACACCCTCCCATCCCCCTTTTCCACGACCCCCCTCCCTTCCTCCACCAACCCAACACCACCAACCCCCGACCAAGCGGCCCTCGCAAACAACACCCCCCTTCCTCCCCGCCATGACGACAAAAGCACACATCCCAGAGGTGCGCCGGCACCGGCCCACCTCTCTACCCCTTAACCCCCCCGCCTTCTCCTTTCCTCCCGGGCGACCTGGCCCGGCTTTGGGTTCTCCAAGTTTGGGCTCGCTCAGTGAGGAGGGGCAGGAAGGTGGGTGGGGGAAGGGGGCACGAGACGGGGGTGCCCCGGCGCGACTGCGCTGCACTGATGATGGCCATTTCACAAAAGTAGTTTTCAATCGGAGCGGGGAGCAGAGGGGGAACATGTGAGATGCTATTTGGTTGGGAGGTGGGTGGTGTTGGGTGGGTGGGGGTAGTTTGGGGAAGAGTGGTGGTTGGGGGGTCGGTGGGAGAGTGGTTAGGGTGGGTTTTTGGGTGGCGGTGTTCTTTCTCTTTTGCATCTGCAACACACACGCACACATACACAAAACAGCACGCCCGGTGATGACGGAAGGTCCAAAAAGCCAAATTTGCAGGCAGCCGATAGGATCTGGCCTATGAAATGTAGGCTTGCCCGTTGGTTGTCGTTGAGAACCTAGGAGAGCTAATCTGAGGGCCTTGTCGCTGTTTTGTTTTGTTTTGTTTTGCTACATTATCTATCTTTTTTCCCTAATTCAGTTATTTCTGTCTTTCTTCCTTTCGTCAATTAGCGGTTGTGGTTATAGAAAGTTAGTTAGAGGCCGGAGATTGGGAAATAACACATGATCAAGCCGGCGAGATGTGTAAATTTCCGAGAGAAGGACCTGGGATGCCGCTTAACATGAGGAACAAGTTTCATGGCCATCCGTGTATTCATAGCTTTTGGGAGAACCTAGATTTTGCGCCTTGCATCCGGTACGGTGTATCTTGTATACAGACAAAACAACAGAAAAGCACAAGCAAATCCTTCCTTCTATACCCGCCCAACATACACTCCCCTCTAGCCCCCCCTTTACCCCCCTCACTGCGTCTTCTTCACGCCCCCCTTACCACCCACGGGCGCGCTGTACATCCACAAGGCGCAGAAACCCACCCACCCGGCCACAGTGACGCCAACACCCGCAATCCACGGCCAGGCGCCCGTGATGACGAAGCTGCGCGGCCACTCGTCGTGGGCCATGTGGCGCACCGACACCGTGTTCTTCTCCTCGACGTTGGACAGGAAGGGCCGCTTGTGGTTGATCTTGAAGTTGAAGATGCCGTGCTGGTCCGGCAGCTTGAACTTCACGCTGTATACGGCGGCGTCCGACGCACCGTTGTTAGTGTCGGGCTTCAGCCCCAGCCGGTGGAAGGGCGAGAGCATGGAGAACTCGAGCTGGAGCGCGTCGGTGGCGGGGGTGGTGAATGGGGTCCAGGTCGTCCAGGCGTATTCGGAGAGGGAGATGGTGTATTTCTGGAGAGAGGGGGTTGGTTAGGTGAGGTTGCTGGGGTGCAGAATGGGTTCAGGGGCGGTGGGGGGGAGGACTCACGACATCGTTTTTGATGCCGTAGATGGTGGGGTTGGACTCGTTGGTCGCGCCCGCCTCTTCGAGGTGGTGCTCGATCCAGTTGACCCGCACGACGCCAATCTTCGTAGAAAGTCCACCCGCTCACGCGCTTGGCGAACTCGCGGTTGAAAGTCTTGGCGGCCTTCTTGCTGTCCGCCTGGCTGACCTCGGCGTCGAACCACTTGTCCTGCAGCATCTCGGCCGAGCCGACGAGCGCGAGGCGGGCCGAGTTGCGCGCCTGGAAGGCGGAGACGAGCGCCAGCTGTTCACCGGCTGCGAAGAGGTCGTCCGCCACCTCGGTCTGCTCCTTGGGGTTGTAGCTGTAGGCGGTGCGCGGGGCGCGGAGGATCGGGGTGAGGAGCTCGCTCGCGCCGAGGGCGGCGCCCACGCCGCGCGGGAAGGCGAGGGCCTCGTTCTTGCCGGCACCCACGCCAAAGAAGTCCTTCACGTCTGGGCGGATGGGGCTGGGCGGCGCGAGGACGAGAACGTCGTGCTTGTCGGTTGCGCTCGCGGTATCGTAGTTGAAGTGGTCCACGACCAGGCCGGTGCGGTCGGTGGGGAGCTGGATATCGAGTTCGGAGAGCAGGGAGACGAGCGAGCTAGGGACGGTGACGCCAGAACTGAGGGTCACGAGGATGTTGCCGTTCGCGTTCATGAAGTCGACGAGGATGTTCGGGGTCAGGTTGGGGCCGAGGCCTTGTTATTGTCAGCCGCGGATAGCAATTGGATGTTGAGGGGGGGCATTACCCTTTGCCTTAGTCGGGAAGAGGATGACATGGTCATAACTCCGTTCGCCGAGGTGGAACAGAGCCAGGGACTCGCTCTTGGGGTTCTCGAAGGAGATCTGGAATCCCCTGCCTGCCCATTGTCAGCCATTGTGTTTCCCTAATGCAATTTAAATCTCGTGGGGTATCCCATACTCTCTAGATCCCCGAGGGAACTGGGAGTAGTTCTCCTTGTCGGCAACATCATCCAAGATCACCAGCAACCTGTTGCCCGAGGTGCTGATGGCCGACACTACGGCTGCGAACAGAAATACGAAAAGCGAAAGGAACGACCGCATGGTGAACAGAATGATCCCGCTTCTAGACAGCCACTGGTCGTGGGCGGGGAATTAGAATTGAGGGGCGCAAACTCGGGGTCGTCGAGTTTATGCCACGGAACTGGAAGCTTGCCTCTCATCCCACAACAAATGGAAGCTCTCAGCAGTGGATTGGATTGCATTGATTCGGCATACGTAGCCTTGCCAAGCAGTGGACGGGGGTCTCAGCTAAACGACCCACTCAGCCTTCAATCGATCCCTGTCACTTTTGGCCAGTGCTCCAACTTTTGAACATGAGCACCAAATTAACCGCAGTTTCGCCGCATCGGGAACCTCGAATCGCTCAACCAAGCCCAAGCTCAAGCCCGCCAGCTCCGACGACGAGGACGACCACTTGCCCCGCGCCGTCGCCAGTGTGTCGCTGCCGCCCCAATTGACAGAACTCGGTACGACCACACCAACCCCCCGCCTCTCTTTCACCCACACCCCAATCCCAATCCCCCGACACTCACAACCCCTCAACCCACCCCCCAGCAAGCAAGCAAGCAAGCAAGCAAGCAATCTACCAAGCAACAACACCCTCACCAATCCACCACCCACCCACCCACCTTCACACTCTATACTCACCCGCTAACCCCCCGACAGCACCTCCCCCCCCCCAAAAAAAACAAGGGAAACCCAAAACCCGAAAAATGAACGGCGCAACCCCCCGCCTCTGGGCCGGTCCCCTCCGGTACTGGCGCTGGGCCGCCCGCGAGCGCCCGGGCCTGTTCTGGGCCGTCATCATTGGGGGTCTGGGCCCCGTGACGCTGGCGGTGGTGCCGCCGCTGCGGCACGCCCTCGGGCGACCCGGACGCGCCGCCTATTCCGTTGACTTATCCGGGTATGTTCCTCCTGTCGCTTATTTGTTTTCTTCTTTTTCTGGTTGAAGGGGTTGGTTTGGTGTTGGCTGTCTGGGAATAATGTGCTAACCGACTGGGACAGTTCCTACCGGGCCGAGGAAGAAATTGACGGGGTATGGCGATGAGACGGAATGAGAGGCGCCTTGCCTTGGGTATATCTGATCGGCGAGCGGCAATTTGGGAGACGATGGCAGTATCGACACTAGCAAGGGGATAGATGTGTACACGGCCGAACGGCGGAAGGGGGCTGTACCAACCGTACATATAGCGTTGCCAGGTGGAGGCAATAGAGAAAGGGACAGGAGGACGGGAGAGAGGCACGTCCGCCAACTCCAAGACAGACTCAGGGGGCTACCAAAACGGGCGACGGCCAGTGCAAAGAAAAGATAAATGCATCCAATTTTTGCACCTAAATGCTGTAGCGGAGCACACGCTGTCTGACCAGGAAACAACCGAACCCATGCTACCCACCAGACCAGCAACCCAGACTCCTAATCATGTAAAAATGTCTTCCACGGCTCTATATGCAACCTTTGCCCCTTTTTAGTTGGCTGCTTTTTTTTTTTCTAAAAAGAAATGTCCTTTCCGAACCAGCCCCTTCCACCCCTTAACTCTATCTACTTCTACCGTTCACGCTGAACCAAGTTCCATTCCCACTGTCACAAGTTAGCCTCTCCTCACCTCCACAAGTCAGACTCTTAAATAGAAAAGAAAAACTTACCACTCGCCCATCATCATCGCCCGTGTACACCAGCCCCGCCAACGGCGCCACGCACGTAATCGCCGCCTCGACGTTCGCCCCCGTCTCACTCTTCAGATTAACATGGTCCAGCCGCCGCACGAACTCGAGCATCCACCGGCCCGTGCGCGCCCCGACCGTCTTGCGCCAGACATTCACGACGCCGCGCTTATGGCCCGTAAAGACGAGCTGGTTCTCGAGCCACTCGTTGCCGGCGCCCTGCGCGGAGCCCTGGTAGAAGGCGCAGGCGTGGACAAAGTCCTCGACGGCGGGCTCGTGCGTGCCGGCGCAGACGTTCTGGTCGAGGATGAGCTCGCCGTTGAGGGTGTAGAGCAGGACGTGCTGGCCGGAGCAGAGCATGACGTCGCCCGTGACGTCGTTGATGCGGGCGCACTCGACGGGCCGCGCGAGCGGCAGCCGGCGGATGAACTCGAGCCGGTTGAGGTCCCAGAGGAAGGCCACGCCGTCCTGGGAGACGGTGAGGATCGTGCTGAAGGCCTTGGACACGGCCATGTGCGTCACGGGCGTCTTGTGCCCGAAGAGCGAGGACCGCAGCTGCAGTTCGACCGTGGGCTTGCTTGGGGAGGACTGGACCATGTAGATGGATACTACGCAGTCTTCGCCAGCTGTGATCAGAGTCTTGGAGTCGGCAAAGATGAGAGTCGAGATTTGGCCGATGTGGAGATTTTCAAAGAGACCAGCGGGCTATATTTGTCAGCTACCTGTGTTGCAAGAAATGCAGAGTCAAACCCAGCTCACCTTTCTATTATCGCTGAGGAAGAAGCGCACACTGTTGTCTGTGTAGCCCCATTCCAGAAACTTGTCGTAATGTGGCGGAAGGTTGAGGCGGAACGGCGATGCGCACAGAAGGCGATCGAGCTTGGGCACGTAGATAAGCGACGCAACGCGCTCACGGCTCTCTGCAAACAGTCAACTTTTATCCCTAAGAGCAACATCAGTACAACCATGCGCGTGAAACGTACCTAGCAGTGGATAAGACACCCTCGTTAGCGCCGCGATCGAAGTGTCCAGCCGCTTAATCGGACATCGGTCGTGCTCTCTCGCCGGGTGGGGCTTCGTGAAGATTTGGTGCGGCGTCTGCCCAAAGTTGTGGATGATGCCCGTTGTGATGAGCCGCTCCTGGGGGTCAGTGATGTTATCGAGGTCTCTGGCGCCCTTGTACGATAGCGGGTGGAAGACGTTCAAGCTTTCCACGGCAATCTCCCCGCGCTGTTTGAAGCCAAAGACGAGATCGATCCACTGATGCAGCCGCTGGCTGACATAGGGGCTCTCCAGAGCCTCCCGGTTCTTCGCGATGAAGATCTTGGGGTCGCCCTTGGCCCACGGCGGGAGAACGACATTGTCGACCTTGCCACCACCTCCTTGCCGGACACCGAAGTTATAGCCATTGATATTGGTCAGGAAATCCGGGAGGTAGAAGAACTCGGGAATCAGCTCGCGAACATCCGAGCCATTGTCTTTTGAAGACGAAGCCCAGGCGCCTTCAATGGAGAAGAAGAGTCGGTCAGGGTGGTCAAAAGTGCCTCCCTGTAGCAGGATGAACGACTGCACAAACGGTGGAAGGCGGATAAGGTACGACGAGACGATCATCGCGGACGAGTAGTGGGTCCCGTAGTGGAAGGGCGTCTCGCCAATCTCAGCAAGACTCCTATATCGCATCCCAAAATCGCCCGCACGGGTCGGCGACTGCGCACCCATTGGCTTCGACAGGTCCCTGAACGAGGCTGGGTTGTTGAGGTCGAGTTCTTCGCTGGTGTAGTCCGCAAGCACCCAAGGGAAAACAGGGTATTGGGTCAGATCGTTGAACGTCCTACCAGCCATGGTATTGACCAGCATCAGGTAGTGGAAATTGGACATCTCGCCCCTCTGCCACCGTCTCATCATCGGGTTCCACGCCGAAGAGTTGAAAATGCTGCCAAACTTCGCCCCAAGCGTCTGCGGGGCCTCCTCAGTAAACCGAAGGCTCTCAAGTCGCCAAAGGTCTTCCGGGTTGGGCAGCAGACTGGGGTTGTTGGTATGCGGCGTCATGCTCGTCAGCCTGGAGTAGATCTCATCCCGCATGGTTGGGTTAATGGCAGTGAGCAAGTAACTGCGTCCGTCGGTGAAGAAAATCTCAATGGCCACATCACGGAACAGGAACCGCCGCTTTGATATGCTGAGAACGTCCTGCCATTTCCAGCTGCGCGACTCCTGGTCTATGCGGCCCTGGTTCTGGCGCCTCTCGCTGGGGTTGCCCCCGGTAATGATGATGGAGAACGGGTCCCGTTCGTCAGATGGGGCTTGCCAGACGTTGACGATTTCTCCATCTGCGCTTTGAAAGAGGTTGTCCATAATGTAAAGCGCTTCCTTTCCAATAATTAGAATACCCTCAGAAGCGTCGAGACCAATGATGCGCGAGATATTGAAGACGTTCTGGACAGCATCGCCCTGCTGGAGTCGCCGCATCACCTTGCGGTTCTTATCTTCAAAGGTATCGTCGCCCTCGGGCTCATTTGGGTCATCCACCAACTCAAAATCATCCTCCGGCGCCACGCTTTGTTGGTCCGCAGCTTCGGAAATAGGTTCGGGCTCGGCAGAAATGTCAGGCTCATCTGACTTACTATCACTCCCGGCCTCTACGGGGGCGGGAGGAGCCGGCGAGGTTGGTCGAGTCCCTTGTGCCGCCGCAGCGTTGCCAGTAAGAACGTTGGGTTTTGAACTTCCTGTAGGACCGTTGTTCTTCTTGGGCTGAAAGTCCTGCTGTTCCGGGTCGGGATATTGGGGGAGAAGACGGAGGCGCATACGGTTCCTCCCTTCCGTCCTGTCCAACTTCCATTTGATGATCTGCGGTTCGCTGAACACTGCCCCTGGACGACATAGGTCGCGCTCCATTTTGGCAAAGGTCGAGGCTAGGAAAGCATTGTCGTCCTGCAGGTCCTGCAGGAGCCTCTGGTGCTTGAAGTGCTCCGTGAAATAAATGCTCTTCATCCACGCGCTGTTTGCCATCTCGTGGCGGAGTAATATGTTATCTCGCTCCAGAGACTCGGTGTGCCAATGCCTCAGCTTGTCCTTCCGGCTCTTCACCCTGATCCTGGCCATATCCGCCGTCCGTTGATTCTCCAACCCGACGAAGTCCTCCCAGGACTTTGACATGCCACCAAAGAAGAGAATATCAAGTGATGGACGATGTTGGTCGACCCAATCGAGAAAGGCCATGTCGTCCAGTTCGGTGAGTCTCTCAAAGCCCCTGGCCAACGACCGTTGATCCGGCGTCATAGTTTGCTGGAATATTGCAGTCGATTCCTGGGGTTTCTGAACAAGCATGATCCGCCACAGAGTTGCGGCAACGCGCCGAATTTGGTGCCTCGGGTCGACCAGTTTGTTGTAGAGTTGGTACCACACGAGCTTCATGTAGTCGTCATCCATTGATAGACAACCAAGTAGCACCGTTTGCCAATAAAGCAGCTGCTCCATGGTTGAGAGCGCCTCCGAATCCTTAGTTTCGGGGTCGTCCATGTCTGATAGCCTAAGCAGTGTGAACTTGAGGAACGAGGACCGAATGGTCGCTACTGCCGTACTGCACAAGCGGACACTCTTCAGCGACGAAACATCAGGTCTCTGTAAATACTCAAGTACGGTTCCCGTGAACTCAATCATCGTTTCGGCCCCGTTCATGAAGGACCCTTCAAACACGGCCTCAGCCACGTGAAGGTTCAGACGCGCCAGGTTTTGCAAGATTTTGGGCTCCGTGAGAGTCTTCTGATCCAACTGGATGGTGTTTTTTAGGTGAGTAATAACGTTCCGCAGAATGTAGGTCTCGAAGTATGCTCGGTGCTCTTGGAACCCTGGCGGGACCTTGACAAGGAGGCCGAATCCTGGGAACTCTTTCTTGACCATAACTTGATCAGCAAACACGCCGACTATGAGTTCCAAGACGCCCTCAAGGACGGCATTGCTAGTGTTCCTCGTGGTGGGCCGCTTCTTGGGAGACATGACGTGGTTCAAACGGGCGGGGGCGGGGACAGGGGCAGCAGGCGGGGACTGTGAGGTCACCAGGATGAAGGACGACGGCCGCCGCAAAGGGGTGCCTCGGCCGGGGCTTGGGGATGGTGGCTGGATATCAACCGGCGCGGAGGTAGCCGTCCTAATAATCGGAATTGCAGTGGATGAAGAGCCAGGAACCGGCTTGATGATGACATCGCCGCCCTCGAAATTGAGCGCGTCTTTGGAGTTAAGTTCTATTTCAGCGGTGACCGGATCGGAACTAACGATGATCGGATACAGTGCTGCAAAGAGGTGCCGAACGTAGTCAGAGGATAAAGCGAATTCCCTGAAGTTGGCCGAACGGGTGTGCATGTCTGCCAAGAACCGAACAACGGTCTGAAGGACTGCAGCGTGCGCCGCCACCCTCTCCTTGTCGGTCAACTGTGTTTCTGAGTCGATCATTAGCAAACGGTGGCCAGCATAAACTGGGTCATCTTACTTCTCGGTTCGAGCGCTTTGCCTAGTTCCATAGACCGCGCCCTGGGCCTTGTCCGGACAATATCGAGGTTCTCCTGGGAGCCCCTCGTTGTACTGAGGTCCCCGGCGGGGGAGTCTGGGTCGTCCTGGTATCTGAGGACGTCGCGAAGCCCGTGTTGCAGCATGGATGTTATGACAGGCAGCAGATCCGGAAACACGACCTGGCTGCTGCCGAAGATTTCCAACAGGCTAAAGAAATCAAACGACTTGTCAAAGTTGATCTTGGCCACATCGTATCCGAAAAGGATGCTGAAAAGGATCGGCCAGAGCGTTGAGATGTCCCACCACTGCTTCAGACGGTAAGCCATGATCCAGAAGCCGCCAGTTTTACTGGCAAACTTCGCCGTATAGCCGGACGGTTGCGTGACAAGCAGGCGGGCAAGAATTTTGCAGCCGAGGACGACAATTTCCGGATCGTTTTCTGCGAGCAGATAGAGCAGCCACTGCCCGGACGTCAGCACGTATTCTTTTTTCTTGTTCTTCGGGCCGGTTGTAAATATCACCTTATTAGTGACAGTCTTGGCAAACTTCTGAATGTCGGCCGAGTTGGTCTTCTCACACAGGAGCCGAGTGTACATCTCCAAGATGCTGACGCCCAGCTCTTTCTTGCCGAGCATCCTTGAGCCTGTAGAAGAGGCCAGGGGGATGTTTTCCGCCGTAGGCCTGCGCAGCGCGGTAAGACCAGGAGTAGCAGAACGACTGTTGGCAGACGCTGGCTTTGGAGTGCGCGGCAAGGAGCCAGGGGGTGTGTGGAAGGCGTATGTGATGAAGAGGGCAATGGAGCGGTGGACTTCGGCATTGTAATTGCACTTCACGAGGCTCTCGAAAGAAGCCATAAAATGGGGCATGACGTGTTCGGATATGGGTTCGGCTTTCAACGCATCCAGAAGCCTCTTGATGATCCCTGTACGAGACGGATGAGCTTACGATGCTTGATAAAAGTGCTATGTAGACGGAACTTACGCATTCGGAGTAGTCTGCGGCTGTTAAACTGATGGTGCTTGCTCTTTACGGCAAAAGTCACAAACTGTTTGTAGTACAGTTCCTGGGCCAGGGACGAAGACCTTCTCCACGTGTCCGGGTCGATGAGGAGGACACGATAGGCGAGCGGGTTGATGATGAATGACTCGATCGGGTCGGCATGCTTGTACCCGATGAAATGCAATATCAAACTGAGGAGCTGGAAGCCAAGACGGTCCCTGGCCTCATTAGTCAACGAGAGCCGCCAGGTTTGTGATTGTGTATCAGAGCCCGGTACGCCATATCCGAGTTTGGCACGGAGCAGCATGCTGAGGATGGTATAGCCCTTGTCTCTCTCCATAGCCTCGCTGTTCCTCCAGCTATTGCTAATGCAATGGAACATGAGCTCAACGGATCGGAGCAACTCGTCGGAGGAAGACGACCGCTCCACGAGCTTGAGAGCTACGGGAGTAAATCCTCCCAGTCGCCAGAGGTTGTCGTCAAAATAGTAGGGAGTGGCGACAACCGGGTCGCCCGTGAGAAGCGAGGTGCCGTTCAGCTTAACCAGGGCATCATTGACGCAGGGAACAGCGCCATTGATCGCAACGGCCGCCCCGCTCTTCACAGTGGCATGGAACACACTACTCGCTGAGTTCCTCGAGAGTGAGCGGAAGAGTAGAGAGTCCATGAATTTTCCATCCGCTGGGAAAACGGCTCGCGGGAAATGGCTCAACAGTACTCTGTGCTCCGGTACGATGGTGCTCGCTTTATCTCTGATGGCTTTCAAGATATCCGAATTGTCATCTTTGCCCGGATGGAACACCTCGTTACGGAGCCCAAGGGCAGCTGAGGCCTCATAGGTCTGAAAAGCACCAAGACAGTCCTGAAAGTTACCCTGGTACCTCACACCAAGTCGATAATAAACAGCAAGCAGGTCGTCACTTAGGACGTCCTCGAATAAGTGCGCCGAGGCCAGCGACCATCGAGACTTCACAAGCCCAGGGCCGAGCTGGGCTGCGAGCCCACGTGGAGTGCCTAGAAACCCCTGTACAGGGTTTGTCTTGCTGTTGTTCGAAGAGAAGGAGACGAAGCTTTCGGTACTTGCATTAGACGGCGGGGGAGGGTTCGGGTATGCGGCGCGGATCTGCTCAGCAAACTCCCCATTGACGTAAAGGCTTGCCTTGCTCGCGACCATGGTCTTGGGCCTACGATGAACGAGGGCGATGTGGTACCACTGGTGTTCCTGAAACACGACCGATTTGAACCTCACACTAGGACGCGAGGATGTGACTGATGTTTGCAGGATGAAGTTCTTGGTGTCCTTTTCAAGGTAGGCGAGAAGAAAACAAGTCTGAGTAGAATCGAAGACGCCGAAGAGTGTGGTATGAGACTTTGGGTCGAACTTGTCGACCCGGATCCAGCCAGTGAAGGTGTATCCAGGGGCTGCTTGGGGAGGGAAGGACCTCCCAAGATTGGGGAGCTCAACGGACGAATGGCCATGCAAGGAGAGGTCAAACTGGATAAAAGGAGGACCGGCGTATTTTTCCGTCATATCCAGACAAAATTCAGAAGTGGCAGGGTCCCGGCGATTCAGCAAGAATTGGGCATCCGCGAGCTGGTCGACGCCTAGCTGCATCAAGGACCTGCACAAGGGCAGTGCCTTTGCCCTCTCGGCCTCGGTGAGAACGCTGCCCTCATCAAAAAGTAGGCGCAGCAGTCTGGGAGAGCATGCCGGTCCCGTGCAAAGCACCGAGGTTGAAGAGGGAATAGGATGCTAGGACCGAAAGCGCTGTGAGCACTATCATCGACGCCGGGCTCGTCGGGGCATCCTCGCCTCTTGGTATAGATTCCCAGAAAGGCGAAAACACTCCTACTGAGTTGGGGGTTTGTGGAATAACCGGTGCTGGATCAACTGATCTCGCCCAA